TTCAACAAATTATTTGACAAAGTATCTCAAATCCTGGAATACCTCGAATTTAGCTAAATGTAGGCTGTTTGGCCTCACAAGACTTAGAAAAACCCAAAGGGTTTCTGATGAGAGCAACAAGGATGATTAGGAGTTTAGAAGGTATGTCTACGAAGAAGGATTGCTGCATATGTTTAGCCTTAAAAAAGATATGGGTGAAAGGGGGGTATAATGACATTCTTTAAATGTTTAAGAGGATGTCATACATCTCAACTTCCGGTTTGTCCGTAGGGCCAGTTTTTCAAGGAAGCCTCCGGAGCGTGAAAAATGGCCTCAAAATAAGGTTGAAGTGCCACCTGTGGCACACGTGCCCTGACAAATGGCTCCGCATGCCACCTGTGGCACATGTGCCATAGGTTCGCCATCACGGACCTAGACTAAGTTTTGTTCTAAAAATTGACAAGATAAAGAGGTACTGGAGAGCTGGAACTCTCTCTGCAATGTTCCATTATCTTTATACTTCTTAAAGTTTTCAGAAATCTTCTAGTACAGTGAGGATTAACTTTTTGGTGCTGAGTGGCCAAAGCGCACACACGCATCTCAAAAATGCAATGCGAGCACCCTCCGCACATGCGTGCATGGTCCCCACGCATGCACATGCATCCCCTCACCCATTTTTAGCTTCCAGGTTTCTACAGGCGAACTCCCCCACGCATGTGCCCTGACCTCCCTTACCCGTTTTTGGCTTCCAGGTTGGTGCAGGAGGCCTTCCAGGCTCTCCTGAGCCCCATTTTGGGCCTGGAAGGCCTCCTGCACCAGCTTGGAAGCCAAAATGGGGCATGGGGGGGTGCCACACGATGTCCCAAAATGCAATGCAATTTCCCCCCGTGCATGCACCCTGCCCCCGTGCGTGCATGCGCATGTCCGTGCATGCATCCTGTCCTCATACATGTGTGGCAGAGACCCAAAGACAGCTGGCTGGCAGGTGGAGCTGGGCTGGGGTGATGGCTGGTGTGCCTGCAGAGAGGGCTCTGCGTGCCACCTGTGGCACATGTGCCATAGGTTTGCCATCACGGTCCAGTATATATTTTTCTCATAACTGTAAAATATTGTTGATTTACATCTAATGAAGGACATATTCTTAAAACTCTATCCAATTATTCTCTAATTCAAGAATTTCCCAATGCCCACAATAGCAAACTGAATTTTAGCTCTTATATCTCTTGAGGAGCATTCTAAAAGTCTTTTTATCTTTCTGATAACACTTACATTTTTCAAATATCTCATTACTTTCAGTAATAAAATTTCCTCAAACTTTGCCACATAATTAATATCCAGCAAATATCTTTTTTTTTTAAAAAAAGATTTGATGCAATATTTTCTGAACATCAGACTTCCAGCCAACTACAAGCAAATTCACTTCTAATACCAAGTAAAGATATAAGGGCTACGCAGTTCTTCAGGTGTTTTGAAATATATGTAAGTGCAAATTTAACACCTATTTGTGACTTACTAAAAATGCCATCTCTGCTTTCTGATTCAAGGATGGTTATGAGCTGTAGACAAGTGCTGCATTCACTTTCCGGTACTTTCCATATTTTTGCATAAACTTAAAATATATTATTGCTCCCTAAATATCAATAGCATGATTGGAATGTTAATAATACTATACATTGAATTGCAAGAATTATTCACTGGAAATTTTGTCAGAAGTTTGGATCTGAACATAACAAAAACTACCATGACAATTAAGTTGAGAAGGTTTTGGAAAATAAGTGGGTTAAGATCTTGTGGGATTTGAAGATCTAAACAGACAGGCATCTTGTTCATAACATTCTGGTATAATGTTAATTGAAAAGAAGAAAGTCTAGTTTGTTAATGCTGCTATATCAGATAATATTGAGAAAAAGCAAGTGGAAAAAATTACAAACTATCGGAACTTGCAGATCAAATTTGAACACTTTTGAAAATGAAATATGCTATCATACCAATATGGCTAGAGCCCTTGAAGCAACACCTAAAGAACTTCTCTATTTAAAAAAATTAAATTTGTTGGACCCGAATATTCTAATTTTGGGGGGAAAAACTACTCTGCTTGTAACTATCTATATTCTCAGACATTACCTTAATAATTCTTAGGTACTTGATTAGGACTTGAATTATTAAGTTTCCACCAATCTTAGTCTGTGTATCTAATTGTAGATACCATCATCATCATCTTCATCGTCATCATCACTTAGTATTATTATTAATGTGGACATATGTAGCTGTGCTGCTTTTAATATATTTGCAACTTATTATTTTAAAACCTGCATGGTAAAATTGCTGTGCAGATACCCATGTGGAGTTGTACGGTATTTAGATCCCGCATGGACATTTATGCAGTTCCTGTTGATAACTCCTTAAAGGAGATGTGTTGTTTCCTGGTTTTGCGTATTACCTGGAGTTAAGGAAACCTTAAGGAAGCAATAACAGTGGTATATTCACATTAATGTTCTGGCTTCATTGGTATCACTCTACCTAGACATTTGGCTTCATTTATTCAATTTATTGGAAAACATAAAAAAAAAGAAATAAAATATATTTGGGCATGAAATGTGATAATTATTGGAAGATTTGCCTTTTTTAAAACACATGTACACTGAACAATTAATTTGTATTAGGAACAGTTTGTCAGCCCATTTTTTCTACATAAAGGCTGAGCCCCCTGTTCTTGAGTAAGAAAAACAATCTTAAATTTTGCAAAGTTTGCTTTCTCAGCTTTTGAAACTTGTATGCTGCTGACAGCAAAATAGTGCAAGTAGGTTTGCAGATCTCTTATTTTGTGTATTTTTACTCTGTGTGTTCTAACTTGTTATTCTAATTTGTCCATTTTATTTAATGGCTTTTATTCAGTCTGGGTTGCTGAATAAAGATCATCCACTCATTTTCCATTACATTTTTTCTATTGCCTCTAGCATATCTGAATCTGAATTGTAGATTGGTCTTTAAAACTAAGCAATATTATGATTTGTAGTCTATTTAGAGAATTGTGCACATGGATTTTTTTCCTGTGCCCTGGTGCTGGTTTGACTCTAAGCCAAACCTTTTTATCTTTCATTTAGGTAGAGATGAAAAAAAAATGTATTGTTTCTCCCTATCAGTTGATATAAGGAAATATGTTTCCTTTCAAAAGCACTAGAGACCCTCAAATGTGAGCTTAAGCATCTGTTTTTCTCTTTTCAGAGTTCAAGTATAACATCCACTTTTTCCACGACGGCCAATCAAATATTTCTGGGGCAGTGGTGTTGTCCAATGAGTATATTTATCATTGCTTACTCTTAAAATGACAAAGAAACATTATCAGATAAATCAATCCCTCTTGTTGCCTATCAGCAGGATTCACTACAAGATTTCAACTATGAAGGCTTTATTTAGCTATTATGGCTAATAGCCACATCTCTTTTTAAAATTATGGCATGAAAGACTTAAAATATTTCCATATGTGAAGACTTTCTTGATTTTGCTAGTGCCTAATTCTTTAGCCAATCATTTTCAGTAATTAACTAGTTCTAGTAAGAAGCAGAGATAAAGTTCCTTCCCATTCTCTCCACAAATTTCTGTTTTGCTTTGGTTGGATAATTGTTTTCCATCTAAGCAAAAAGTCTTAAGTACTTGAACATATTTCCAAAAGAAATCAGAAAGGGTGAGAAAGGAAGGGGTTCAGACCCATTGATTGTCCTGATTTCCATTTTCTGCACCTTACCCAGTGCCACCATATTCTTTTGAAGATAAGCAACCAAATTTTTAGGAATGTATTCCTATTGGAAGAATTAACTTCAAAAACATGATCTTCCCTATACATACTTCAAGGCAGAGCTAAGAAAGGCTAAGAGAGCTCATCTGCATCCAGGAACATTGGAACACTTCTCATATTTGCAGCCCAGCACCAGAGTGAATGAGTGAAAAAATCTGTAGGCTTCCTGTTAAGATGTTTCTTATACTCTGAAATTCCCATCAACATGAACAGTTATATAGTAGAAGCTTTCAAATTGCATGGAATTACGGGGATGTAGTAATGTTCTTTTACTATGATGTTGCCATGGATGAATGTCAAATTAGGGGATGAGCTATAAGAGAAGAAAAGAGGATATTTGCTCCTCCCTTAGTAAATAAAATGGAATTGACAGCCATAACAAACTTTCTTCATCTGTGTATGATTCTGTTTGATGAACAAAAGGATGCATGAATTCTATGTATCTGGAATTAAAATAGGCTATTATTTCAAGGCATAACACACTGAATGTGCAGGATCATTTGCAGAAATTTGTCTTGCATTGCTTCTATACAGAGTTGTTTTAACAGGTAATTATGTGACAGTGTAAGTGCAGTGGCATTGTTCCAAACACCCACTTTTTTATGATCTGTGACAAAAAGAGCTATAAACCCCTTGGCACATTGTACATTCCTTGTTAGATTGGCTTCCTCCTCTTCTCCTACTCCAGAGTTCATTTCTACTGAGTATTGTTTTAATTGCTCATTATGTGATCATTGTTCATGCCTGACAATTGGTGCTTTCTCTACGGGTAGATTAGTTGCACAGCCTGCTCTGATGGTGGGAACCCAGAAGTGGTACTATAAATTAAAACAATGATCTAATTACCGAACACAAAACAGGGTTGGCACCCTATTAACAATATGCAGTTTAGAGTGTTTAGGGCTGCAATAAGCCAATAAATAAAACTTGTTTTCTCCCTTGTGTTGAAAGCAGCCGGTGTAGCAACCAATGGTATTGCTCAGCTTCAGCTCCGTGTTGTGACAAGCCATTCTGCTGTGCTGTAAGATTTCAGTGCCACCCCCCTCCCCATTACCTCAAAGAGCTGCACTTTTTTTTACATCAGGTCCCTGGAAGTACCTCCTCCACTACCTGAAAAACACAGCACTAAAGGGGTTAAAAAAGCTTCTCTGAAATATGCAGGGAGGAAATCAGACTGAATTGGGGAGGAGAATTACTTGTACAGCACACGCCTTGTCAGTAAGTACAGCTCTCAGCTCTCGGATGCAACGAGGCAGTCGGAAGGCAGTGGGCAGCATCACTGGCCACTGACCAAGCCAGCATCCCTTGATTTGACTCTGGAATGGCACCAGTAGGCTAGTGGTGTCCTGGGATATATGTGACCCTGTTGCTGTGATTCTGCCATCCCACTGTCGCCTTTGCTAGTCACTCAGGGAGCAGGCAAAGGGAGATGCAGTTTGGAAATGAGTGCTGCTAAGCAGGAAACCCAGTGTCAGACGGCTGCACGAATTGTCACTGACCTATGTCGCCAGAAGAGCCTGCCCCAGCTGGACCTGGAAACCTGCAAAGAATTTCTCCTCTTTCCCGACCTGAATGGCCCAGAGCCAGGTACAGTACCCCCTGTTCCACAGGGAAGGACTTTTATCTCTTTGACTTGCATTCAAATTACAATCTGAGACAAGCTTTCCTCCCCCACCCCAATAATGTGAGCCTTATGCCAATGTCCTGTTTACCACTTTACACCAGCCTTTGGTCTTCAAAAGCAGGCAGGTGCTGTATCTTGCAGAGATGTATTGCCAGAGAGTCAGAAGAAACCTGTTGAAAGCAAGTTTTCTAAGTAATGCAGAGGGAGGAGGGGGAAAGGGAGAGTATGTGATATGAGGAGGAATTCAAACGGTCATGTTGGGGAAATAAACACTCTTTCTGGCATCAAAGCTGCACCATAACAAACAAAAAGCAAGCAAGCAAGCAAAACACCATGTGACCTTTGTTGCCAAGATTAAAGTAATATTTTTAAAAAACCAACCCGGAGTAGGATGGAAAAAAGCAGCAACTATAGTGCCAGCCTCCTGAAAAAGGAGAAGAAAAGAGTAAAATTTTAAAATGTACATCTTAGGAAAAACATAACTGATTGATGATTTGATTCCCCATAATTAAATAAGAAAAAATATCATTTAACCCTTAAACTGAACTCAGAAGAAGGTGTTGCAGCATTGCTTCTAAAAACTAATTAACACCGGAGTTTTAAACTGTGAGATTGGAGATGAGTTGACTTTCCAAACATGATGGCAAGTTAAAACAATGAAAGGTTTTCTTTTTCTTCCCATGCCAGACTGTTATATTCTTAGCATGGTTGTTCCCCAGATATAGAAACCTTATTAAGATAGCTTTAAAGTTCCATGGAATGATATAGGAGGCTATTAAAAGCTATTAGCCATGATAGCTAAAGAATGTTTTAGGCTATATTTCTCATTCTGGAGTATTTAGACAAACCATAAAGGCTAATACCTCCATAGCACACTCTATTTATGATGTTGCCCGAGGGAATTAACTACCACTATGATCTAAATCAGTTAACTTCATCTGGAAGAGCTGCCTTCAGTTCTTGAAGCAACAATTTCCTTTGTGTCTTGAAAATTGTATATAAAAGTGATTACCAGTGCCCATTTACCCCATGAAATTTCAGTGCCATTTCCAGCTATAGCTGAGAGGGTTTAGCCTATTGAAGTAGTTGTTGTCACAGCACTGGCATATAGATCTGAATCAGAGTTTCTTGTTGAAATTGCCTTTGACGTGCCCTTAGGAAAAATTGGTTTCAAAATCAGCTTTAATAGACTGGAGGGCAACAAGGCTGATTTCATGAACTGCAAATCTTCATGCCACTTTATGGTTTATTCTGTTTTTCCTCAACAAATTGGTTCCAGATTTCACTAGAAGTTGAGTTCCTATGATTCCACGAATGAAGATTAATTTCTTAGACAGGTATGCTCACACCTTTCTCAGGCTCCAGGTATTCAGGATCACTTAAGCTATGTTTTACTCTCTAGTGACAGATTTGTGGTTCCTTGATACTGTTATTTTTCCTGATTCATACTGTGTAAGGTAATAACAAATGTGAATTTGGCATTTAGAATAGTCATGCTATGGTATAAAATAAAAGACATTTCTATAACAAGTGTTTTCTGTACAAATTTCCACATCAAAGTTTATTTAGAAAAACTTCATAAACTTTTTATTCACCTAAAGCCATCTACTCAATAGAATTTCAGGCCAGCTCCTCAGTTAGATAGGATAGGACAGATGTGTGATTTCAGCAGGAATAATATGATTGCTGAGGTTTATACTGGAGATTTTGGAGTTTTTGCTGTACAACAAGCATTCATTTCGTTGTTCCCAGCATATCACAAAGTACCTTGATTTTGATGAGTTAACCATCAAATGAGTCATGCGTAGTTTAGTGATTTAGTAGTCACGATGGGATTCATAATTCCCTTTCTAGGAATATCAACCTGCCCTTGAATACTGGTACATGAGTTTTCCCATGCACTGAGTCTATACCACTTCTGTAGTATATTTTGAAGAAGAGTCTTTTGTATCCTGAAGAATTATAAGCTGAACCAAGATCAATTTCCCTAGATCTGTGTTTTTGCAAAGTATAGTATGGAGTCTCAATAAGTTGGAGAGGAGCCAGTTCTGCTCTGAAAAAATGCTTGTGTCATGTATAATTTAATCTGAGAATGAAACTTGTGAAAGCCCAGGATCTTAAAAATAATTGACTTTCCTTGGAGAAATTTGGAATTTGCATAATGAATTAACTCACATTTTTAGAGTTCAGTTCGGTATCACTGCTATATTTGCAGAGGCATCATTGGAGAATGATAAGGCTTCTATACATTTTTTTCATGCCTGTAAGCTTATGAACTCCTTGCAATAGAATTTGCCTCAACTTCTTGCATTCATTCAAACCTTACCTGAAATGCAGCAATATTCTCTGGTGCCTGGATTGTTGAAAGGTATCATCTTAATCTCCAAAGACACTAATGGCCCAAATATTTTATGTTAAATGCATAGATTGAATCAGAGAGATTTAAATATTACACTCTCCATGTTCTGTGTTTCAGTATTCACCCTGTCCAGCAATATAAATAATAAGAATAATATAGTAACTGACTTTAGAATTCAAACACATAACACCCCAGGCTTAACAATTGTCGGTAAAAAAACAAAAAAGTTTGGATTGTGGATGTGCAGTACCTGGAGACAGGAGAACAGAAGAAAAAGAACTGGAGAAGATAAAATACAAAGTCCTGCAAATGGAAATAGAACAACTGTGGCAAAAGAAAGCAAAGCTAGTACAATAGTAATTGCCTTGGGTGCAATCCCAAAACAATTGAAGCATCACTTAAATATGATTGGCATTGACCAATTCACTATCAGTCAATTGCAAAAAGCAGCTTTAATAGGAACAGCTTACATCCTGCAGTGATATCTATAACATCATTAAACATCCATATCTGCATATCCTAGGTCCCTGGAAAGGACTTGATAGGTGGACAGAAATGCCAAAGCCAGTCTGAACATTTGTCTGACTGCGCTGGGACCATAATAAAAGGAAACATTAATACATGGCTCAATTTTTTAAAAAAAATATTTTTAAGATCCCTGACTCCCAAGTGGCTCTGGGACTCTGTCTTGGAACTCTGAAGGAGATAAGCAGTTAAATAAATGAGCGGATAAATAAAATCAACAACACACCAGAGGCAGGAATTGAAACAGAGTAAATGTGAGTTCCACAAGATGACATTCTTTAATTGACAGAAACCAGACACACCATTCTGGATTGAATCAGATGGGCAGAAGCCACTGGAAATAAGTAGGGTTCAATCATTATTTAAAAGCAATAACATTAAAGTTATTACTCTCTCATCCATTAAAATTACACTCATCTTCCAATCCTCAATGTATATTCAGCATATAGACTGAATAAAGAAGGAGAAAATGTACAGTTTTGTCTTACTCCTTTGCCAACCTAGACCCAGTTCTTTAACCATGTTCCATCAAAACTGTGGTTTTCTATGTTGTGCATAGCTTTTGAATGAGGACAGGAAGATATTCTGGGATTTCCTTTTTCCTAAGCACATTCCTCAGCTTGATATGGTTGATATAATCAAAGAGTTTTCTATAATCAAAGTAGCGCAAATTGATTCCTTTTGAGTGTTCTTTGGCATTCTTAATTATCAGTATGCATTTGTGATAATGTTCTTTATCCAATATGAGTTTGAATGATCTGGAGGATTGAGAATCTCCATAGATATTTGACATCTCCCTTTCATTGTGGGATTCTAATCTGCATTGGTTTATTTTGTTAGTATGCAAAGTTAAGGATATTGTACAATAGTTTGCACATTCTGTTGCTTTTCCTTTCTTTAATATAAGTGTTCAGATTGCCTCTTCCAGTCTATTGGCCATTGTAACACTTTCCAGATTTGTTGCCATAGTTTGGCTGCCACCATTACTGATTCTTCTTCTGTTGCTTACTCTTTTATGGATATTCCAATAATTCTTGTAGCTTCCAATCTGGTAATGACCAGAATGTTGATCTAACTTTATCTTCTATTGTAAATGGGAATATCTTGTAATATCCTACTCAATAACTTCTTTTAGTCTTTTTTCTTTGGCATAAATACCTGTTCAACATGTTAATTCAAAATTAGAATCTTTTTTTGAGTTTGGATTTTTTTGAAAGACTTTCCTTGTTCTTCCATATCTATTTTAATCACTGATGTCTTCACAGGTGTCATTTTAATACTGTACTGATTTTTGTCTCTTCTAATAGCTCTATGAAATTCTTTATTAAGTTAGCTTATACCTTTTTTCTTTCTTAGTCTTGCATTTTCTTCCTTTCTTGGGCAATTTATTAACTTGTTCTATCCAGTTTGCTTTAATCTGGCTTTTTTTGGTTTAGTAATATCTTTACATTAATTCTTAACTATTTTCTGATTTTATTCCAAGTTATTCTAGTTCCCTGTTAATGAGGTTCAGGAATTCAAAATGATTTGTGAAGGCATCATGATCATACTGCGGAAACTGGTTGTGTTTGTTCTTTTGCTTTAGATTGCAAATAGTCAATCATTATATCTTTGTTATATCTAAATTCTTCCACCTCCTTTAATCAATTTGATTTGTGCATATTCCATAGGGGTATAGATATTGGTTTTGTTGTTTGAATACTTTGTTAGCAATGAAAAGACACGGGACTGGCAAAAACTGATAATCATTCTCCTGGTGAATTTTTGCTTCCTAGACCATACAGTTCAGTTATGGACTACAGCTATCCCTTCTTAATATTTTCAACTTTGCCATTCCAATCTCTGATCACAAGTAGCACATTCTGGCACATGTTCTGTCAATTGCAGATTGAGCTTCGTCATAAAACCTGGCAGCTCCCTCATCTTCTTCCTCAATAGTTGGAGTGTAAACTTCAATAACTGTCATATTAAAGATGTCATGATTGTGAACTCTTATTAATATTATTCAAATAGTGATTGCACTGGACACAAGTAGTCATTGCTGTATCCTTCCTGACAATGAGAGCAAAGCTATTCCTT